GGAGTGCCAGATGTCTTGTTCTTTCTACCTGAGTATTCAGGAGGTACTAATTGTCTCATACCTGTAACACAAGCTCAAGTAGATGAAATGGATCAGTATTGTGAACTTCCACAACATACAGAAGAATATGCAGAATATTTTGAATATGTTATAGCGAACAAGAATTATCCAACCAATGTAAAAGAAGCTTTTGATTTGTTCCAATATTTTATTCACCTACGACAACCTTGATCCAATGCTTGACATAATGAACTGGAAATGTCTGAAAGTACATTTGTTATCTGTAAGAATGATTTTCATAAACCCAAGAAAAAGATGTGAGGTACACATTGTCCACCCTGATTCTGTTGCATTCCTTAGTTGTCATTTGGCACCTGTAAACAGTTTGTTTCCCAGGTTTAGGAAAACCAGTGTATCAAATTGAATCGTAATTGAAATTGATTTCATAATTGACATTGATTGTACTGTTATAATGTGACAATTAGGTATGGTGTTTAATATATCATCTCTTAAATTTACTAGCATGCAATACCCATGTAACTGTAATGAAGGGAGCATGTGACTAACACATTCAAATGTTTCAGCAGAGTGAATTTTAACTGGCATTTAGAAATCATCTATTATTTCTATAACAATAACAGGAGCATATCAAAATTTAAAATGTATCACTTCTTAAAGATTTTTACTTAAGAGATAATAATCCAACAAAAATATCTTTTCCTAATGGTGAACTTGTTTTTCATATGCCCATCAAACAGACAAGCAAATTTAACAAATGAGCATTGTACTTTTGAATCAGTGTTTGTAGCATGTGCTCATACTTCTAGAGTGAACAACCTCTTAAGAGTTCAAGTCCCTCATCCCTCTCCCATATTGTTTCTTCTAATCCACCATTTTCAGCAGTAACACTGGTGTACCTTAACCCTTTAACTCCCACAAGTGACCAAGAGAGAATTTCTCCATACAATATCAAGCAGACAAGTGATGAGAATAAAGGAAAGTCTT